GAAGGAAGGAAGGAAGGAAGGAAGGAAGGAAGGAAGGAAGGAAGGAAGGAAGGAAGGAAGGAAGGAAGGAAGGAAGGTTGAGTAAGATGAAACAAGGTTTTAAAACAACAAATTTTAACATTTTTTTCCCCTTTGAACAACTAGTTTAAGGAAACGTATTGGCTTGGCTGCAGTTTTTGATGTAAAAACACCGTTTTGAATTAGGCTAAAAGATATGCCATGTGAGCTTCAAAGAAAATATTGGAGAGAAGCATACAGGAAAAAAATTAAAAACTTCCTTGCAGGGTTTTCTAATCTCTGTACATATATTATTTAAAGCTTTGCAAAAGACTAGTCTGCAGTGCTGAATAATTATTTTGCATGTACTAGTTCAAATATTCCCTCTTCTGTTTGCTTGTGTTTTCTATTTTGATTTGCTAGCAATTCTTTTTGAGTAAAAAGGAAAATTATATGCACTTTTTTAACCTAAAATGCAGAATTTACCATAACATTGGTATTTTTAACTATCTGTTCATACTGTATGAATGCAGAAGAAATCTGACAATTTACATAGCCAAATTCACAGTTAAAAACTCATTAGTTATGTGATTTGACAAGGAAGAGGTTTAACTGTGATATGTGACTGCACATGCATTGACTTTCACATTTCAAGTCAAGGGTAGGATAACCTCACCTGATGTGGTTTTGAACTTATCAGCTATGACTGGTGCAGAAATGCAATGCTGGTGAACCAACACTGAGCTTTCCTGACTCCAGTACACTCCATTCTTTTAACCTTGACAAAAAAAATAGAGAAACAAGAGAGTTAAAATGATAATTTGCTTCTGGAAATTATAGACCTTTTTTTTTCTTAGTAAAAACATGGGGGACAGGCATTGCTTTTTTTTTTTTTTTTAATTCTAATGAAATCTCAAAATAGCTCTTGCATAAATACTGCCAACCAATATTTCTCCAAAGCAAAACACACAAAATTCAGAAGCTGTTATTCAGGGGAAATTTGCCCTAGCTTCACTTGGATATTTGTCCCGATACAAGTCAACAGGCTTTATTTAGGATTTAGCTCAGTAAACATTCACCTGATGACCAGGCAGGCCAGTTTCCTGTGTCAGGTTTATGGAGCACAAGAATAGCATGCTGATAAATAGTATGATCACATGCTTGGCTCTACCTAGTTAAAAGGAAAAAATGAATATAGTACTAATCTGAAAGCGAGTTCCCTGGCTGGGAGACACATGTAAATCCTCCTCTCTCTTATGAATACTGCTCAGTTACAGCCTGCTGGATCTGGGAGCAAGAGTAAACATCTAAACATCTGTAACACAGACCCTCTCAGTTACTAATATGAAGTAGATCTGAAATCTACAAGGCTTCCAACATCATCCCTCAGAGAAGAAGACATCACAAATTTGGCCAGACCATGACAGCACCAGCAGCATTGGGTGCTTTTGCAGAGTGGAAGCCAAAATCTTGGATTTAAAGAAAGCATCCTCCCTCTTCATCTGGTCACTTTTTCTTTTGATCTTTCATCAGGCATCAAGCTTCTCTTTATGAAACAAAAGACACATCTCTGCTGTGTTTGTCTGGTGTCTTTGGTGTGTTTAGTCACTGGCACAGAAATTGCCTATGCATTAATTCATCATGCCTCAGTCTGGTTAAGCCCATTGCATGCAAACCCAATCATCTTTTACTGCGGTTCCCATTCTAGAGGGAGAAGAGCAAATGGCATTTTTTGTTTATACTTTTTTCCAAACAAATTCCTCTCCCTCATGGAAAGAGCACCTGATCTTTGGGTCTATCTCACAGAACATTCTTTGATATATTGTCTTGGCTAGAGGCATTCGACTCTCTGCCTGTTTTGCATCCCTATTTTAAAAATAAAAGGTTTTCCTATTCTTTTAATTCTCGTAACATTAATTCAAGTCTGTGTCAAACATGAATCACTGACAGATTAAAGTAAATGTGTCACAGTGAGATTACCATGAGTATAAAACGGTGCTCAGCATGTGCCGCTTCCCTTTGCTGTGGGCTCAGATGAAACTACAGGATTATAGCAATAGGCCCGGCTTGATACAAGATACAGAGCACCTTTTATTTATCCAACACAAACTAATGGGGAAAAAGATGAAGTCACATTTAAAGTTTTCTATGGTTCATTTAAATTCTATGTCTTTACTGGAGCTGGAGAAGCTTCATTTGTGGCCTGCAGTATCACCCAGGAAATATTTTAGCCTAATGAAAGTGAGGAGTGATATCTGAACTTCACCTGAGGGAGTATAAGAATAAAATTTCAATGAAATAAAATTATGAGTACTGTTAATTAATATTAGACCAGTCATTAAATAAGGAAATTTTATTTCTGAGTCCTTCAGAAGAAAAGGTATGATAAAAAAAAAATTGACCCCCCAAAAAAGAACAATGATGAAATAGCCTACCATAATTTTTGTTCAATAAATACCAAAGCTTCCTATTTAATCTTTTTTTAAAAAAATGCATTCTTGTTTGCGCAGGTTTTGATTCATTTTTTTTGTTTGTTTTGGAGAGGGATTTTATTACTTCTAGGTAAGATTATTGAAATCAGCAGAAAGAGACCCAATAATAACAAGTTCAGAATTAATTCAATCTGCTGGCATTTCAAAGTAATCAAAGCAACCAAAGCTCTGAAACTGGTACTCTAATACACCAGAACAGCCTCATCTTCTTCTATGTCCCATTCAGAATCTATAATCAGACTGTTTACTTCTGACAAAATCACCTGCATTCAAAGAAGTTATTAATATAGCTAGATTCAGAAACTTTGCAGACCAAAAGTAATCTTCATTATCAGTTGATCTATTTCATGCTTCCAGCAACATGTCAGGTGCTTCTGACACTAACTGTAAACTACTAGTCCAGGGATAATAGCTATTGACACTAGAGCTGTGAGTCCAGGATGAAAGGGCTTTTGGTGTCACACATTTGTGGTTGCAATTCACTCTGTGGTAGCTTCTTTCCACAGAGAAAATACTGGATACATTTAACCTTCCCCTATTCCTAATGCATAGAAATCAGAGAGATATTATAATTCAATTTAGTTTTAATCCATATACAATGAGGAGGAAAAAAATCCATTATAATTACAACCTATACAAGTTAGTTTTCTTTGCACTTGCACTCAATTTTCAGGGTATAAAACAATAAAAAACAATTCCTATCATCATCAAACTACACAGTGATAAGAAATATATCACTAGACAAAGACATTTGATCTGTGACTCTGCACACTGTCATTTATATGATTAAGTTTTCTTGCAGTTTTATATGTTAGCAAAATACCTACCTTTGAAAGTAAGCCTAGCAGAATCCAAAAGTATACTGAAAAGATGAAAGTTTGCATGTGGCAAAACATTCAATGGAAAGGAGACACTGAGAACTCCATCCTGTGATTTGGCAGGTTGGTGGGAGGATTTTAAAAACATCCCCAGCCTATATATAGAAAACAAGAGAAAAGTATGATTTTAAGAATTCATGCAATATCTTCCCATTTTGGATCAAATTCTCCCGCAGTATACTAACTCCTTGGATTCTGTACCACCTACATTGCCTACAAGACAGGCTTTAGGCAGTTCCCTGTTGTTATGTGATGCTGTTCCATACTGCAGAGAGGTAGCTAATGAAAAATGACCTGTAAATTTCCAGTCCTTGTGCTTCACTTCTGTACTTCAAAGGTTTTCTTAACTGACTGCCTTACAGAACAAGGTGGTGTTCAGAAGGAGCAGCACAAGAAATCGTGATTGCTCATGAGCTGCTTGGGTCATTATGGACGATTCCCTATGCTGCCGAGAGAAACCCACACAGACTGATCTATCGGCTGACTATAGGAAAGAGGAAATTCAATTGAACAACTAATTTTGAAAAAATTACATTCTTTTGAAAATTGTGGTAGTTTGGCATTTAGGGAAAGAAGTGGGAAACACCTACAGAAGTGATTTCTCTGAGAGTAGCTGCTGGGAGTTTCTTCTGAGCTTGAGATCAAGCCAATAGCTGGCCAGTTCTGAGAACTGACAGCATTTTGCACCACTGAAAATTAAGTTCACCTTTGTGAATACCACCTTTTAAAAACCCAAGCCCAGGAACTTCTTTCTCTTTTCTTTCTAGCTTGAAAGGTATGGGAGCTCTGGTGTGTCTGGCCCTGCGGCCTGTGCGGCCTGTGCGGCCTGTGCGGCCTGTGCGGCCTGTGCGGGGCTGGGCCAGACCCCAGTGGCTCCCGGGCAGGGGATGGAGACTGAGGGGGTTCCCCCAGCTCCAGGGCAGGCCGGTCTCTGCTGTGGCCCCTCCCGGGAAACCCTCCGGGTCCCATTCCAGCAGGGCGGCTGCAGCCCTTCCCAGGGGAGCCCCAGCCCCAGGCCGGACTGAGAGGCACCAGGACACCTGAAATCCAGCACCGTGACTGCCTGCTGTGGCCTGGGAAAGATTTAACCCTTTCACTACACAGATGAGACCTGAAGACCTTGATCCTTGCTCTAGGGAGAGAAAAAGACAGGAGTGATTGACGTGTGGAGAGACAAAATGAAACATCAAGCTCAGTAAAAGAAGGAGTCAAGCCTCAGATGGAAGGAGAATGAGGAGATGCTCTAATAGGCTGAAATATTCTTTTGGTAGGGTCATGGAGATGGACAATAATGTTCTGAAAAACTCCTTTAATTCATGAGAGTATGGGGGGATGAAGTATTCAAGCTGGAGATCTGAGCAAAGGAATCCATTGATGAAGCTGAGTAGATTGTGGAGTAGCTGTGATCCCATGAGATGCTGGAACAGAGAGAGAGAAGTGAGAGTTGATGAAGACACTCGGCCCTCAGGGAAAAAAAAGAGAAAACCTCTGTTCCCAGAGATGATCACAGAGACAAATGGAAAGAACCTTTGCCTTTAAATACCTCATCCTTAAAATAATACCCCTTGAGTTCATGGCCCATGGACGTATCTCTGGGAGGGCTGTGAAAATGGGAGGAAGGCACGATGGCAGAATTTCTGCCCAGGCAGCTGCCATTCGTAGAAATGAAAAGCCACAAGAAATCTCCTTCTTGTGGAGAAGTCTCCATGGCATGAGAAGAGAAAACTCCTCTCCCTACAAAGATTGATGAAAGGCTGCTGTATAGCTGGTACTGCTTTAACATTCCAAATTTTGTGTCTACATTTTCAGTTGGGAAAGGAAAAGTTGGGTAGGGAGAGGAAAGGTTTCTGGAGTTTTTATTCTGGTTTCTTATTATTGTAGTCTTGTTAATAAAGTTTCTTTATTCCTTTTAAGTCTGTTTTGCCCTTCTTCTAATCCGTATCTCACAGAAAAAATGAGTAAGTACCTGGGTGATTTTAGCTAGTGCTAAAAAATGCATCTTCGCCTGTTTTATTTGTACTAAGGAATGGAGAGCACTTCTAAATTTAAGTTTATTAGAAAATGTATGAAGAAGGCAGTTATTTTTTTACAGCTTCCTAATGTGGATTGGATGATTGTATATTGTAGTAGTGATACAATTTAAGACCAAGGGGATTGAAAGAACTACTAACATCATAAGATAAAACATAACCATTGGCTAGAAATAAAGGCCTTTTCCCTTGTGCCCTCAGAGATTATTCTGTTGGGAGTTTTCTTTCCATTTCTTCACATGTTTATGATTTCTTACTTCTCTAAATATATAAACATTTTCAAAGATGTTAAGTGTGAGACTTTTCAAAATTCAGAGATTTTGTAGAAAGTATCAGGCAGGGAGAAAAGGTCCTATATTTTCTAATCAAACTCAGTGTCAGAACTCTCACTAACTTCACAAATTATCAAGTTCCATTTTCTTACTTGTTTGTCATCTGAGTGGTAGACTGATCCGAGTAGCAAAGTTGTTAGCATCATATGGTTCACTGGATAATACAGAACACTCTCTTTTGAACTTTTTTATCCTCAGCAACAGATTTAGACCCAAACATGCACAGGCTGTTCTCATCCTACTATTGTGTCCATTTTTTCATTTATTATTCCACTAGGTTCCTGTAAAACAACCTTTTGCAAGACTTATTTCTCTAAACAAAAAATCTGAACCCATTAAACCAAAGTCTTTAAGACTTTGGGATTTGAATTTCTGAGAATGAGTTCTTTTGAAAAAAGAATGTGGTGAGTTACACTTATAGAAGTGGGAAACAAATGCATCGACTCACACTTCACCAAAATAGCTATATTTTGGGTTCCAAGTGCCAAATACTGATATTTACTACTGTACTTTATCACCCATTCCAGCCCATATGAATACAGAATTCATTAATCCAAGTCACATAAAATGCAAACAAAGTACATGCAGAGGAAATGAGAGCATTACCATATTTAGTAGTGTTTCTTTCACAATATTTGATTAAATAAATTTTTTCTTGATAATTTTGAATTTTTTTATTTACATAATATACTCTGAGCTACTCCCCTTGTTCCAATACTGCTATGCCTAGAAACTTTTAGGGCATGAAACAAACATACTATATAAATCAAACAGAGATATTTGCTAACTTGATTTGTCTTAGAGCATTTCTTTTTCCTAAATTTGGGAAAAGGCTGGACCTTCATGAGACCTGATAGAGAACACGTTTCCATAAGGCAGCAAAGCAAGGAAAGATATTCTTTGGATATTGTCAATTGATCGAATCAGTAATGTGGTGACCCAGATAGGGCTCTATACAAACATGTCACCTATATTAAGTTTGTCACCTAGTTGGACTAGGGCTGTATTGCCCATACTGTCACAGCCAAAGAAACTCAAAAAAGGTACAAAATTCCATATTAATCTGGTCTTATTTTCAACTACTGTGGAAAAAGTCATTCACACAAAGAATATTTTTCTAGCCAAATCACTGCTGCTTGAAAACATGGAAGAGGCAGAAGTCAAGGAAGGGTGATAAAATGTGCATATTGCACAATTCCCTTCCTGCTTAGTCTTAGATAAGATCAAATATTGAATACTACCTTTAAACAGACATGAAATATTGTAGGCAACAATAAATACAGAAGCATTATCATATAGCCCAATAATGTTTATCATAATTTTTATTGTTCAAGTAGGTTATTTAAAGTTCAAATGCATCCAAACACAGCTTTCACCTGAAGGTGCACAGAGGAGCCCTGGCTCTGTGCTAACTCATAAGCACAAGGCCTCATTCCTGGATGATTCCTTCATCTACATATACATACACATGTATATATACATCCATGTACATATACAAGAAATTATAGCTGAACTGGGGGTTGCTGAGGTTGTGTGGCTTAAATAGGGGACTGGTTAGCAAAGATTAACCAGACACCCCCCTGAGGAAGAGCACGGCAAACCTCACTGACAGAAACCTGACACCAACAAGGATAATTTCTTTTGCAGTAAAAAGTTTTGAAGGAAAGTAGAGGATAATAAATTCATATGAATTAATAATTTAAAACCTAGGATGCTGTGAATTCTCTTCTTCAGCTGCTGAACATTACAGCTTTCTGTATACTCAGAGCAATTCTTTTTAAATTCAGATTACATATTTCCACTAGGGTCCAGATTCTGAAGTGCTTATTCAGAAATTGGTTTAGGTAGAAGTCCTACCAAAGCTGCTGGGGATTTGATTTCAATTGAAACTGCATAAATACTGAGTGCAGACTTCTGGATTTCATCCTCTAGAGTAATAGACTGTGTAAACTAGAAAGAATGATTGGAAGGTCTAGTAAGGAACCAGCAGGCTGTTTTAAGTAATTAATATTTTTCTTAGGAAAACACTAATCATTGTGATGCCCGGGACAATTATTATTGTGGAAAAATAAAGGAGAATACCTATTTAATTTCTAAATACTTTGAAATTGAAATCTTAACTCATAAGACAGTCTTACTGCTGTACCAATGAGTGCCCATTATACAGTCTCATCCTTTCACATTTGTGGATAAGCCAATTTAGTATTCCCACACCTCTGTAGTTAACATATAAGCACTGATTGACTATGCTGCTAAAACTTTCAGCTTCAGATAAATATGCTAACAACATCACTAATGATGAAACAATGCACAAACCCCATTTTGTTTCCCAGAAAAATAATTTTAAAAAATAACCTGTGGCTGAGACTGGTTCTGAACCCAAAATAACACACAGAAAGCTAAACCAAAACGCAATAGGTAGCTTATAGACTAATTTATAGTACTAGTAGGTATACCTAGATGGTGATCTGTTAGGTATTAGCTCAGCAGAAAAAATCTCCAACTTTTGACTCTTAAATCCCATTTACCCCTTTGTGGTAAAGCAGAGGAAATCAAAATGCCCTTAACTTCCCCTCAGTGTGCACTCAGCAGAACTTCACACATCCACAAACAGCTGTGGACTGGGACATGTTGCTTCAGTCGTGCTCACTCCCTGGTCACTGGAACAGATTTAGTTTCTCTTGCCAGCTCTGCCAGAGGTTCCTGTGACTCTGGGCAAATCATACAGGTCTCATTCCTGCCTGCTGGCAGAACAGAACTTTTCCATGTTTCTCCCAGATGTTTCCTTATCTGTAAAGCACAATAATTCTTCGTACCATGGACCACGGTCTTGAGGCTTCACCTACTTGATCTTTGTAAAATGTCTTCAAGTTTTCATTTGTCCCTTCAAGGGGCATTAAGAAATACATATTATGGAGCCACAGGTTAGCATGAATTAATATTCCTAATAAAGTCTTTCCAAAAATACTAATATGAGCTCCTGGTACTCTGACATATTCCATGCAACTGTACAAGTGTTAGAAAAATGGCCAAGTTGTACAGAAGTTATTCACATGGACAGCAGATGCTGTCTTGAGTAGGGTTATTAGTATGAGCTATTTATCCAGGTTATAAAATGTCAATCTGGCTATGTATTAGTGCACAGTAAGCTATGTTATTTACATTAAAAGTAAAGTATAATACAAAAGTATTATATTTACATAAGGCAGAGCATCTCTGGCAAACTGTTAGGCAGTAGGTGGAAGGATGATTATTCTAGATATATAAAGGGTATGAAATTCAGGGACATATGGTGGTTGCCCCGTGATTCAATAAAAGACAGCAAAGCCAACACTTTATAGAACAAGACCTTGACTAGGAAAAATTCTCCTTAATGATCAAAATTCTCAATAAATTTTTCTATTTTTTTAATAAATTACCATCATTTTTCTCTTTCTATAAATTTTTAAATGTC